AAATTGGATTGAACAGCACTAAGTCATGAATGGCTCAAGGAGCCCATAATAAGAATTTCTTATCCTCAGGGCAGAAGGAAGTCTTTGACATATATTAAGCAGCATTGGGAATGGGGAAAGAGTCTAGCTGGAGCAACACCACTTTGGGAAAAGAGTGGAAGGTGAATCCCATGTACCATATACCTGAGATGTGGGCAGAGAACCAACAGACAGAGCTCTGGGGACTCATCCTGCATGTGTGGCTGGAGTGAGGCTGGTTTTCCTGGGTGGCTATGGAAGCAGAAGCAAAAGGATCTGGAGAGAGGCAGGGGTGAATCAGTATGTTCCTGCAGGCATAGGGCTTCTAAGCCCCACCAGGCAATTTGAAGCATATGCTGAGTAGGCTTGGTCAGTGGCAGTCATGGTCAGTGGCAGTCATGGTCAGAAGCCAGAGTCAAGTTCAGGTGTCTGGAAATGTAACCTAAGCTCAGGACAGAGCAGGGCAGGCCCAGCCATAAATCCTGCCCATTGGAATGGCACAGACGTTGGGGAGAGGCTGGCAGGGGGCAGGAAAAGGAGCTCCGTGCATCCCTCCCAGAGTCTAAATGGCAGGTATGAAGTGTGTGAGTTTCCTGGGGTCGCCATGACAAATGACCACAAACCAGGTGGCTTAAAACAATAGAAATGTATTCTCTCTCAGTTATGGAGGCCAGAAATCAGAAATCAAGGTATCAGCAGGTTTGGTTACTTACCTTTTGGAGACTGAGGGAAAATCTGGCCTATGCCTCTCTTCTAGCATCTGGCGTGGCCAGCAATCTCTGGAAGTCCTTGGATTATAGCTGCATCGCTCCCATCTCTGCCTTAGTCGTCACACAGCAGAGTCGTCTTTTCTCTGTGTGTCCTGTCCTCTTCTATCAGAACAGCAATCATTGGATTTAGGGTCTACCCAAATCCAACATGACTGCATCTTCACTTGACTACTTCTGCAGAGACCCCATTTCCAAAGAAGCTTGCATTCACAGATACAAGGGGTTAGAACTTGAATGTATTTGTTGGGAGGGTATGCACAATTCAACCTAACGCATGTGGTTTGTATAGTAAAATGTTGGGCTTTGAGGTCACGGTAAACTGAGTCCAAGTATTGGCTCAGCCACTCACCAGCTGGAACAAACCTCTTAGCCTGGTTGAGCCACAGTACCCTCATCTGAAGTGTGGCAATAACATTCACTGCCTCACAGGGCTGCTGGAAGGATCACATAAGGTGATATATGTAGCACATTTGATGCTGCTTGGTGTAAGGAGCATCCATGAATAACAGCCGTACTTACTCTTTTGACTATGGTAGGTCACAGTCTGAGCAAGCAGATGCCCTGGAGGATCCCAGCCAAGAGGCAGAGCACAGAGAAGGGGAATCTGGGGGACATCATACTTGGGAATCCAAGTAGACAGGTACCAACAGGGACACCAGACACAAGTAGCAAGCTGGGGTTCAGGGAACAGAGCTGAGTCCCTGAGGAAGACTCCTGTCCCAAGAAAAGACTAACCAGTGATAAGTGTTCAGAACTGGGACCATGGTCACAAGTCTGCTCTTAAAATCTAGTAAGAGGTTGCCCAAGTTTCACTCTGGGATACAAGGCTAGGGCCCAACCAGCAGCCAAGGTGGTTGGATGCTTAGGGCCAAAATATGGAGCTGTAGCTGGTTAAGTCACTCTTGACTTCAGTTCTGGTTGCTGGGGATTTGATAGAGCAGGGGGCACCCAGTGGCCCCATTCAAGGATAGAGTAGAGTAGGAGAGGTCGGAGACAACGGGGTCCTGACAGACTCTTGGTAAGTGGAAAGCACTTATGGGGATGAAGTAGTGTCCTAGAAGGGCCATCCTGCCTGGTCCTGAGGTTTAGAAAAGGTATGGAAAGTTTACTGGGGAGGCAGGAGGGGTCAACAAATCACCCATAAGACCAGTGAATGTGTTGGACAAGTCAGAGGTTTGGGGGTTATTCAAGGATGTGATTATTGTAAATACAAGAGCAAAGACCTTGGAACTTCTCTAAGCCTTAGTTTCCCTCTCTAAAAAAAAATTGGGGTGGAATAGATGTTCTTGAATTTCTCTTGTCCAGGTCTGACAGCCTATGATTTTATGAATCATCCTCAAAGAAAATTTGTACAAGTGGGAGGAACCTGCCAAGATTGGGCCTTTCAGTCTGAGTAATGAACTAAAACGGCAAAGGCTTGACATCTGTTCTGCTCTTTCAAGAGAAGTTGGACAAAATAATGCCTTTTTCTGGGAAATCATAACTGATGTGAAATATAGTGTTTCTTGCCTAAGACAAAATTGAAGTGGTGAACTCCAGCCTTCCTGAGGCGCAAGGGAGAGCACACATCAAAACTCCCTGTGAAGAAGGTCAGGTTGACCAGTTGTCTTGCTGCTGTAGGCACAGAATGCCAGAGATGTCCATGCCCTGTACCTCATTACAGCAGAAAGTGGGAAGGCTGGTGGGGAAATTCTGACGGTTCTGAGTGGGTCTGGGGGGAGAAAGAGGGCCATTGGCTTCCTCACCAGTCCTAAAACATTTCTGGTGGATGGGACAAGCCTTGGCTACACACACCCTGATCCCCCCAGGAACTAAAGCTCTCATCCAACTTGCCACCAAAAGCCAAAGGAAGATTTGCCTCCATTGACTTTGAGGTTCTTCCCAAGAATCTATCCAAGCCCCAGAGGCCATTCCCAAAGACCAACTCCAAATGTGTTCTGAATAATGATGATGACTTTGGGTTCAGAACACAGCCTCCCAAAGTGTGTTTTGAAGGGACAAGCCTGGGGGAGGCCAAGTTCTAGAAATCAAAAGCCCATTTCACCCTTGTCACGCCAACATTAGAGAGGACTAGAACTTCAGGGCTGAAAGGGACCTTCCAGGGTGCCCGACCCCAGCTCTCACCCTACTCAGAGTCCTGTCCTCAGTCCCCAAAAGGGTCTCACTTGATCGGAAGCTCTGTGAGAGCAGGAGCTAGGTCTCTTGCTTACTTCCAAATCCCAGACTGGCACACAGTAGGTCTTGAGCAAATACACATTAATCCCTCTGCACCTTCTCAGATAGTTCTCTCTCTTTTGTTGCTTTCCCAAACTGAGACCGCTCCAGGGAACTGGGGTGCCCACAGCTGCCTGTTTCTTCTGCCTCTGCCTTAAGAGTTAAGCAAATTCCAGCTCACACATTCAGAAATTTACAAAAGGAAGGTCCCAGTATAAAATAATCCTTTGTAATAGGTTCCTCCTCCCTGGTTCTCCCAGGTTCTGAGGTTCACTGAATCCTTGTGCTCCAAGTGTCACTACTTGGGTGTGGGGGTGCTGTTAGAAGGAGAAACACTGGGGTGTGCGACATCATGGCGTGTTTCCCGATGCCCCCAGTCTAAGACGTCTGTGATGCCATTTGGAAGCTGGGGTTCTACCCATATCGGTCTTCCCCTTTTTGATGTCTGGTTTCAACCTAGTGCCTCATTTCTTTCCTAGGATTAGTGAAGTCAGAGATGGTGCTAACAGTTACAATCTAGTAAACAATTTCGTTAATGTCTATTTCCCTCATTGTGTGGTTCAACTCTATATTCCCTAGTGTCAGGTAGAGCTCATAAAGGATGGATGGATGGATGGATGGATGGATGGATGGATGGATGGATGGATGGAGCTGGACCAAGCTAGTGGGTGGCTGCCTAGAGACATTGCCTTGGGAGGGGGTCTCAGAAGTAACCTCTCCCATCTTAGCAAACGGGTCTTTAGTGCTGAGCTTTAGGACACAGCCTTCCTGTCTGTCCTGCCCCATCTGAGGAAGGGAAGTGATAACTTTGTTCACATTCTGACATGTAAATATCCACAGGAACCCAAGGGGTTACCTCTCAAAGGGAAATATTATTAACTAACAAATATTACAGAAGCTGAGATGGGTCTTGAAAATTGAGAAATGAAACAGTACCAACTGTGCTTAAAAGCTCACAGATAAATAAGCAGATAAGAAAAAAGTCACATGACCACACATATTGTTATTCACACCAAGCTAGTATCTTACCTGGGACAGAGCAAACTTCACGGGGATTTAGAATTGGAGGCCATCAGGAAGGGTTTCTTGGAAGAGGGGGCATGTGCGAAGGAATACAGAAGGTGGGAAAGGGCCACAGGGAGAGGGCATTCTCAACAGGGCACAGTGTGTGCGAAGCATGGATGTGGTCAGCAGGGAGCAATTAAATGGGGCCTCGTTTAGACAGAGAGCAGTGGGGCAAGGCTGGAAAGATAGGGATGAAGGGTTATAGCTTTTTAATTAGGGAAAGCTCAGATCCAAGAGATAGAACTTTAATTATTACCCTCTATAAAATTGTGATAAGCCAAGGTTTACCAACATTATGAACATTCCCAGCCTTCCCTACACCCCTTCTTTCTCCCTCTGCTTTTGTCTCCCACCGACTAAACAGGTTCTGGATTTGCCTGTTCAGTTTTGTCTTTGTCTTCTTCCTCCCAGGAAGGCATAACTTGTGCCTATCTGGTTTGGGGGGTGTTTGGGGTATATAATGGGGTGAAGCCATCAAGAAGTATATAGGAAAGGAAAACATTTAACTAAGGGCTGTTGTGGATTCCACGTCCTCTTCATGATGTTTGAAAGTTACAAATAAAGAACACGAGTGACCTTTAAATGTTCTTAGGTTGCTGCACTGTACTTATTTGATAAAGCACCATTTTGAGAATAGACTACATGGTTACAGTTTTAATAGGGCTCCATTCTCTGCACGTTTATGCCACAGTCCTTTCCCTCAAGGTCATGAGCTCTCGGAGAACAGGAATTAAGTTCATCATTGTCTCCCCAGCACCCCGAGCACAGCCTGGCCCAGGAGGAGGGTTAGTAAATGTTGAAACTGAAGAGTGGTTAAGTGATCCCGGGCTCAGGCAACTGACTCCACTCCAAGGAGGAGTGTTCTGTTCACTGCTAGTCTGAGGCTTTGCTTGTAGTCAGTCAGTCTGTCTGTCTATCTCTCTCTTATTGCAGAAAGCAGATCTGGCTGTGGCCCCCTTGACCATCACCCACATCCGCGAGAAGGCCATTGACTTCTCCAAGCCCTTCATGACACTCGGTGTGAGCATCCTGTATCGCAAGCCCAATGGCACCAACCCCAGTGTCTTCTCCTTCCTCAACCCCCTGTCCCCAGACATCTGGATGTATGTGCTCCTCGCCTACCTGGGTGTCAGCTGTGTCCTCTTCGTCATTGCCAGGTAAGGGCAATGCCGTGGCTAGAGCTCTAGCCTGAGGTTGGAGGTTGGGGGGGCCAAGCAAATCCCCCACCCCAGACCACTGCTATGCATGCTCCCCTCTCCTTCTCTGCAGCTCAGACCCCTTTATATCCCTTAGGGAATAGTCTACAGCCCACAACCTTGAATCTCCCGGTCCTCACCCTGGTCTGTATGCATGACTCTGGAAGCAGCACTTGCATCCCAGGCCCTATGAACAGGCTTGGGGAGGTTAAGTTACTGCCCAGAGCTGCATCAGCTGGGCCAGGCACCCAGTACTGCAGACCCAGGTGCTTTGGGTGGTGCAGAATGTGGCTTGACACTTGAAAAAAGGACAGCACCACAAAGACTCACACACATGCACTCATGCAGAAATGTGGCGCTATACACACCCAGCTGTCTGTAAGATGTGCTAGCAAAACCCTTGCACACTTGGCCATTCAAATGAGAGATACTAACACATCCTTGTGGTACATGGCATATGGAGGTAACTGGGGACACCGTCAAGCTCAGTGTTTACTGAGAGCCCCGTACTAGCCAAGCACGTTGCTCTGTCTTTCACAGCCATTATACTATTTAATTCTCACGGCCTCCTATGAAGAGGAGACATCTGAGGCTCAGAAAGGTGCTATCCTTGCCAAAGCCACCCTAGCAATAAGGGACACATTCGGCATATGAACTTGAGTCACCAAGTGTTTTATCTACGACTGACATCTCTGGCTGCCTGGACATCTGTCCTCTGCCTCTGCCCCAGTGGTTGGCTGCTGGGCCCAGCTCCCCATCCCCTTCCCAGCTGGGCCCTCTGCCCCTCCCTCCAGCCTCCAGCCCAGTCTCTGCCCTGGTTTTTTTTTTTCCCCCTCTAAATCCTAACAAAGTACGAAGAGAGACTTCTCTGGAGAGGCAATTTGAGATCCAAGGACTTGGTGTTTCAGCCTTTTTTTTCTCCTGGGTCTTCTTTGAAAACCTTTCCCCCACCCCACTCCCTTCTGCTCCCTCCTCCCGCACAGAGAAAGACCAAAGGGAAGGATGGCAGAGATGAAATTGTCCTGCCTCCAAAGCCCTTTGCTGCCTGCCGGCCGGGGGCTGCCTGCCTGCTCAGCCCAGCCGGCAGCCCAGCCTGCCACAGAGAGGCCTTCATTAGGCCTCTTGTCTCTAATGGTCTAACAAGCCTTTGAAAGCCAGGAGCCACTCTCTGCAGCTCTCACCATAATTTTAGCAGCTCCAGCCAGCCTCTCAGCTCCCCGCCCCCTGGAAAACAGCTCGAGCTTTTCCAGCATCAGTTCTGTCCATGTGATGTGCATCCCGTCCCCCTCCCATTCCTGGCCTTTCATCAGCTGCTGGCAGCCAGGCCTGCTTTCCACCACATCCCTCCTGGCCGGGAAGGTAGGAACCCAGTTCCCAAGGTCAGGCTGGGGAGACTTTGGGGGAGAGACAGGATTCCTGGAGCTGCTGGAATGACACGGGACATGTGAGGACAGAGGAGAGGGACCAGGGCCTTGGCCACAGAGTGATGAACAGCACCCCAGTACCGTTGTCATGCTGTGTAGCACTCACATAACACAGTTCACATGCGTCCTGTCAGATCTTGACTACAGCCCTGTGCATTGGGTGTAATTATCCCTGCTTCGGAGAAGTAGAAACTGAGACTCAGACAGGTTAAGTCATTGCCCAAAGTCACAAAGCTTTTTCTTGGCGGAGTTAGGCTTCAAATCATGCCCCATCTGAGTTTAAATGAGATGGAGGCTGGGGGAGCTGGGGGAGGTGGCCGGAGGGGCTGGATGGGGACAATGAGGAAGGGAAGCAGGCTGAGTGGCAGGCGGCAGGGAGTGATGGGGACCAAAGCAAACTGGAGACACGCACCTGGCAAGAGGGGTGGCTGGTACCCGGCTCCAACAGCTGCGCTAGGCAGGACGCGGCACCAGTGCTGCCGAGTTCGTGATTTTTAGAGAGTGACTCAGGCTTTTAGGTGACACCTCTTGGCTGTTATATGTAGCCACAAATTTGATGTTTTGCAACCCTACTGGGGTCAAACACAGCACATCTGTATGGTGTATGTGGCCCTCGGTCCCCTTCTCCGTGTGACCTGTGTCCTTTGGACCACCCCATGCTGGCTGACGGAGAGCTGGACGCAGCTGCCCAGAGATGGGATCTGTGAGGGTGGCAGGCCCCCAGACCCACCCCATGGCAGCTCTGGCTCAGCACAGGGCTTGTCCATTTTGGCAACAGGCCTGGCCTGGCTCGTACCTGCCACACACCAGGGGTTTGGCATTGAGTAAGGCCTTTACTGCCACGAGGATATTCTGCTTCATGCCACACCGGCCATGCCAGCCCCTGAGAGACGTCCTCCGGGGCCTCTCTCTCTGCAGTGTGCTCTGGCTCCCTCCAGCCTGCCTTTCCTCACCTGGGACTCCGGCCGCTGTGCACACGGGCCCCTCCGGTCTTCCTTGGAAGACATTCGGGGGGCTTACAGTAACCATGTCTCCCTGTCACACATACATGTGTATATCCAGAGGAAAAAAGCTGAAAACTTATATAACGCATTGTCCTTTCCAGGGGGTGGGGTCTTGGAGTGCTTTCACCTCCTCATTGTATTCTTCTGGGCTGTTTGACTATTTTATGAGGAGTGTGTCTTACTTTTTTCAATTTAAGTTTTTAAATTCAATTTAAGCCATTCAAAAATATAAGTAAATAATGAAATAGTCATAAATAGTAGTAAATAAGTAAATACATAATACAAATAACTCAAAAAGTCCATTCTCACTTTTAAAAATTCATATAATACATATAAAGCAAAAAGGCTTCCCTGAAGTTCCTTCTGCCATTTCTGATTTCCCTTCCCAGAGGAAAACACTCACATTTTTTTAATTAGATTCTTCCAGACGCTTTATATATATTTATATACAAATGGACATAAAGAGGTAGAAAGCTGTGTCTTTGGGAATTTACAAAAATGTGATCCTATTATTCTTATTTTTATCCCTTTTTTTTAACCAAACGTCGCATGTTGGAGACCTTCTCCTGTCAGTACCTCTAGAAGTGCTCGCTTCTGCCGGCTGCGTGAGACTTCACAGTGCGGCGGGGGCATCGCTTGCTTCATCAGACCCGGGTTGAAGGACATTTCCTTGTTTTCAGGGTTTTGCTCTTACAAACGACGCTTCAATAAACACCTTTGGCATTTCTCTTTGCACTCATGTACTTGTGTTTTTTCTAGGATGGCTAATGAGTCACAGAATTGCTAGGTTGAAGGGCATGTGCACTTTTAATTTTAAGAGACACTGCTGAATTACTTTTATAACCAGCAAAAGCCACTAACAATAAAGCACACAGCAAACCGGTCCTCATTTCCCCATCCCTGCTTTCCCGGAGGAACAATGAGGCAATTGATGCTAAAGTGGTCGCACATCAGTGTTTGCTAAACCACCCGCTGCCGTGATACCAACACCCCTTCCTCCCCCCACCCCATCTCTCTGCAGCTCAGCCTCACTGCTCCCCTCTCCCCCTGCAGGTTCAGCCCTTACGAGTGGTATGATGCTCACCCCTGCAACCCTGGCTCGGAGGTGGTGGAAAACAACTTCACTCTGCTAAATAGCTTCTGGTTCGGAATGGGCTCCCTGATGCAGCAAGGTATGTGCCCCCTTTCGGGGCCAGCAGGGGGGTGGGGGGAGTTCCTTTCCCCCAGGAACCTCTTCTCCCTGATGGGGAGGGGGAGGGAGGGGTGCTGAACCTTTTGGGAGTCAGCAGAGTCAACCCACCCTCCAGAACAGCCTCAGACCCGCTGAGCCATCACAAGGTTGGAGACACCTGGACACCCAGTTGTGTGCCCTTGCCCCAGGTCCCCACCCTCCACCACTACTGCTTCTGGGCCTGCTCAGGTTCTAAGGCAAGGGTGTCAAATTCATTTTCACCAGGGGCCACCTCAGCCTCGTGGTTGCCTTCAAAGGGCCGAATGTAATTTTAGGACTGTATAAATGTGACTACTCCATCTGTTAATCGAGAGTTCTGCACTGCTGCCAGGTAGAAACAAGGTGCTGGGCGGGATAAAACAAGGCGGAGGGCCGGATTCGGCCCTTGGGCCTTTTGTTTGCCACCTGTGTTCTAAGGCTGAAGCAGATGAGCCACCTCCACCCACGTCACGCGGGCTCATCCCCAGTCCCTCCTGCTCCAGCTGAGGTGGACACAGCGCATCCCTCTTGCGGGGACTGACCCCACCGATAGCCTTACCACTGCAGACTCTGGCCAAACAAAGTTGGGCTGAGGATGGGTGGAATGGTGGACCGGAGGCAGGGAGGCCAGGTGAGAGGCCATTGCTGGAATGAGATGATGGGACCAAACTGGCGTAGGGCCCATGAGGGTAAAGCACGGCATGGGCTGAGAGAATTTCAGGGTGTAGCAGGGACTGGACTGTGGGGAGTCTGGGAGTAGGAAGGGGCAAGTCTGAAGTGGGGTTCTTTAGCCTGAGTGCATCAGAGATGGGATACACAGAAGGACACCACATTCTTCTATCTTCCTGAGGGAAGGCCAGTGCGCAGGACTGGACCCTGGGCTGGTGGCTCACCCTTGGGAGATATGTGCAACTGCTCAAAGATCTCAGAGAGCAGAGCATCTTCTCCAGCTTCGAGGGGTGTGGTGAAGAGACACCATGAGCTGGAGGTGGGCACAGGAAACCCCTCCAGGGAAAACATGTGCCCTTTGCTGCTGCCGCTCATCCCAGAGTCTCTTATCTTGGGGAATGGGGAAACCCAAATCTCTGCCTGTGTTAGGACCTCACTGAAGCACAGTGGGTGACACAGCCGGGAGGGGGCGGGGCATGGGAGGGGAGAGGATCCAAAGAAAATGTCCTTGTCCCTCACTCATCTGTGTGTATCCTCAAGGCCCAGCACAAACCCTGGTCCTTATAGGCATCTGCCATGAAATGCTGAATGGATGGATGAATGAGCGGATGAATGGTATGACCCCACGTGTCCTGAGTGCCCACAACCCTCCAAGCCCTGTGCTGGGCACTCGAACAAAGAAGGGTGAGGGAAGATCAGCCTGCCCCCCGCTGATGATTTCCCATCCATGGCAGAGCCCAGGGTAGGGACTTGGGCCTGAGGGGGGTCCAACAGAGCCAGGCAAAGCTCACCAACCAACAACTAAAATAAGCCATTCCCCCTTTGCGGGGCAGCTCTGTCGCTGGCTTGGAGCAGTCTGGGGGAGGGCCAGGCAGGTGAGGCTGGGGGTGGGTGGCTGGGCGAGGAAGCTGAGGAGCCTTGGTGGGAAGCGACAGGCAGCCCTCAAGGGAAGTGCCTCATTCTGTCCCCACTATTAATGAGTGTCCTGAAGCCTCACCTTGCTTCTTTGTCCATCATCTTTGTTCAGTGACAGTTGGGAAAGACCTGGGAGACCTTCAATGCAGTAATAGCCTCTCTTCTTCCATCTCCTGCTGCTATTCAAAGCCTTGGCCCCTAGTGTATTCCCCGTGAGGTTTTGATTAGGAGGGAGAAAATAGTTGTGTATTTGAAAACCTCTCCCTTGAGTGATTTCTTTGAGGGGGAAAAAAATCATCCATATCAAAGCACACGCTTTTCAGATTGCAGATCCCAATATTCTGGAAAGTTCAGGAGTCACTTGCTATTTAAATCTCTTGAAAGCCACCTAGTTAATTACTTCAGTTAGAAGGTTTCGCCTAAATTGTGCTCCACACCCAAGGTCAGGGAGGAAGCGTGATCTATCTCATCAAAGAGCTTCAAAACATGTTGATTTTTCTCCTCCTGCAAAGCACCGCATAGCAATCTTGTATTTGTATACCAATTGTATTTGCAATACAATTTCTCCTCAAATTATATCGCGGCAGCCTCCCTGTATCTGTGTGAAGCTGGGAAGACGAGGGACAATTGTTCCTGCTTTGCAGAGCCCCAGAGAGGGGAGTGTTGGGCACAAGATCATACGGAGAGTTAGGGGTAGGATTCACTCAAGAGCCCAGGGGCCCCACCCCCAGGTGTTCGGAGCAGGGGCCATACGGGGTCCGAGGAAAAGCACCAGAGGGCCTGCCAAGCCTGGGAAATGCTGGGCACGTGCCTGTTGTTCTAGAAGAGCAGCAGTCCTTAATTTTGGCCTGTATCAGAATCACCTGGAGGGCTTATCAAACCCAGGTTGTGGGGCCCCACCCCTGACGTTACTGATTTAGTAAGTCCTGGGATGGGCCTGAGCATGAGCATCTCTAGCAAGTTCCCAGGTGATGCCGATGCCGCTGGTCCAGGGCCCACACTCGGAGAATCACTGGTGGAGGGTTGGGACTCAGCTTTCCTCAGACCGTCAGTGGAGTCCGTGACCCAGAGGACCCAGGCAGCCCTGGTCTGCGCATCGTCAGAGACCACCTGCCTCTTCCCTTCCCCCAGGGTCTGAACTGATGCCCAAAGCCCTGTCCACGCGCATCATCGGTGGCATCTGGTGGTTCTTCACGCTCATCATCATCTCCTCCTACACGGCCAACCTAGCCGCCTTTCTGACCGTAGAGCGCATGGAATCGCCCATCGACTCTGCTGACGACCTGGCCAAGCAAACCAAGATCGAGTATGGGGCTGTCAAGGATGGGGCCACCATGACCTTCTTCAAGGTGAGGCCCTCTCCCTCCCACTGCAGCACCACAAGCTGACCCTTTGCTGTCCTTCCCTAACCACATGGAGCCAAGGGGCCAGAAATCCCCAGGGCTTAGTCCCTCCCGCTGGGAACCAGTTAACTTTTCAGGGTTGTGGTGATATAGCCTCCTGGGTGGGTCCCAGCAAAGATCCTAGAAGTTCCTATACCTGGGGCAAGCAGATTAAGTGTGCTTTATTTCCTTAAATTGTCAGAGGGGGACAGGTGGGGAGACGAGGATGGAGAAGGGGGAAGGAGAAGGGAGGCCAGATGCACAAACAGGCCCTGGGTGAGTGGGCTTCCTGCCCTTGGCTTTGGGTCTCACCAGCATCCATCTCCACCAGGCTGGCCTGGGTTTGGGGGTCAGCTCTTCACCACTTAGAGGGCAGCAGGAAGTGCATCCTCCAAGGAAGAGAAGAGGCTTAAAACTCCAACAAATGTTTACAAGCATTCCTTAGCAAGTTATACTCTTGGAATAACCGGAATAACCCAGTCTGGATAAAGCCCCATCACCTGCTCAGGTTACTCTTATAGGGATCTGGTGCTGCTCCTCCTGCCTTGTAAGGTGTTGGCTCTGCTCCCCAGTGTTTGTGCACCTTCTACTGGAGTAGCGGAGGGTTTAGGAGACTGGCTGGCCCTGAAAACCCATAGCTGTAAATGTTCCTCTGGAAATTAAAGTAATAACGATAGCCACTACCACCGAGAGCTCCCCGTGAGCCAGGCGCTGTACTAAGAGCTTGCCTCACTTAGTCTTCATGACAAGTCCTGTGAGCAGGTGCTACAATTATTTCCACTTTACACATGTGGAAACTGAGGCTCAGAGTCATTAAGGGGCTCGTCCAAGCACCTACAGCTTCTTCAGCCAGACGCTGATCCAGGTCTGCTGTCCTCCATGGCCCATGGTCTAACCAGGGGGGCCCAACCTCTTGGCGTCTCTGGGCCACACATTAAATACATTGCAACACGTAATCACAAAAAAAATCTCAAAATGCTTTAAGTAAATTTATGATTTTGGGTTAGGCCGCATTCACAGCCATCCTGAGCCACACGCAGCCCACGAACCGTAGAATGGACTCCCCGGTGGGCCACGGTTCTCAGCTGCGAGTGTGCATCCAAATCACCTGGGAGGCTGGGCTGAGCCTGGGTGGGTGGGCCTCCCTCTCGGAGTTTCTGGTGCAGTGGGGCCATGGTGGGACCAAGGACGCGCATTCCTATTGGGTTCCCAGGGAATTCTGAGGCTGCTGGTCCAGGGCCCACACTTTAAGAACCACTGTCCCAGCTTTTCTCAGAAATGGTCGGGATCTGGGAACTCCGTGCTATAGGTCCATTTGTTCGGTTATTTCTTTATTAGTCAATTGCTCTCGATCAGTCTGAAAGCCTAGGGTATGTCCCTCTCCCCTGGGTCCTAGCCCGCCAGCCCCAGCCCTGGCCTCCTTCTAGGCTAAGCCTCTGAGTGATGGATTGAGCTTCCGATGAGGCCTGATGAGGAGAGCAGGAAGGGGCTGGGTGGGAAAGCCTTCTGCCTCTGGGACAGCAGAGCCCTGCTGCGATCCTTTCCCACCCCCACCTCTCCCGTGTCCCTCCTTAAGGGTGTAGGCTCCTGCTCAGCAAAGAGAAAAGGGCTCCCCTCTTGGATGTTGCTACTGCTACTGAGAAGCAGCAAACGTGGCCTTCTTCAGAGGTCACTGTCATGCGTTTAGAGAGAAGAAAAGGGAAAAACGTGGTCACAGGCAGTTTGGGGGCTCTCTAGGACCCTGTGTATGTGTTCACGAGTGTGAGCAGTATGTGAGTATGTGCTAGGTGGATGTGTGCATACAGCAGCATATAACACATGTAAATTGTACTCAAGAATGTATGCGTGCACATCTGTGCCCACGCAAAGAGTATGCCTGCGTGGGAGCATGTGTGTTTGTGTATGAACACAAGTGTCTGCGCATATGTGTGTGTATTGGTGAGCATATGTTCTCATGCATCTCTGGGATCTGGGTGTGTGGATATGTGCCCACGAGTGTCTACGAGTGTGTGCCAGAGTGTCTACATGATATGTGTGTGGAGAACATATGCATGCCTCTCTGTTTAAATGTGCCCATGAGTGTGCCTAAATTAGTGTGAGTGGGGGGTGGGCCTGTGTGTGCATAATAGCTTGTGCGTTTGTGGAATGACCCACATATGTGTGTGTAATAGCTTTTGTGTGTGTGATGGCCCCTGCACACACGTGTCGGGATGCATGTACAATGACACATTTGTGTGTGTGCATGCCTGTCCGTGCCTATGCTCAGGCTGCAGCCCGGCCCTGTGACTTGCCACAGCATCTCTCATGCATTACTCATGAGCGCGTCTCAAGCAGGGCTCCCCATCAAAGGGAAGCAGCATAAATACGGCTGGAGCAGGCTCATTGCCGCTGATTGGATGTCCTCTCCTCCCTCCATGCTCAGATGCTCAGGCTGTCTTCCCAGAGCCTAGTCCCAGCTCCCCACCGAGCCACTGTCCTCAGCATCAAGCAGTGCCTCCTGCAGCCTGCTCTGCCCTCACCCACATTCCCTGCCACTGGCACAGTGAGGAGGGCAGGGGCGGGACTTGGAGGCTAGGGCTCAAGGGCCCACACTCACAAGGGCCTTAGGCCAGAAACAGCCATTCCACGTCCCCCTGCAGAACCAGTTCCACTTCCTTACTCTCCTGATCACTGAGTAATTCCTCCTGAAGTCCGGCCTTCCTGTCTCCTGCTTTAATTCCAGTGTAGCTCCCTTTGCCCAGGCTGCCTTTCACGGCAGCAGCAGTGGGACTGCTGTGGAGGCAGAGAGGACCTGGATGTGGGTACATTGACCCCACCCCAGGCGAGGGGCTGGGGGCACAGAGCACCCTCCCAGCAGACCCCTGGGCAAATTTACTTCCTCCCCTGCCTCCCCCTGCACCCCATTCCCCATAGTTACACTTCCCCTGCCCCAGGCCAGGTCATAGCCTTATTGTCACTTTCAGGTTAGAGCTGGAAGGAAACCTGAGTTTAACTTAGAAAAATGGAGGCCCAGAGGGGCTGGGTGATTTACCCATGACCACACAGCCACTCGGTGCTGTACCTGGGATGTCAGGTCAGATGTTCTGTCTGCACACGGAGGGCCCTCCCCCACACCCACCCTGGGGTCTTCTTGTGGAGGGGGTGCCCCTCCCCTGCCCATGAGTATATATGCCAAGGCTGGCTCCAGGAGTACCCATAGGATGCACAGGAGACATTAACAAAGTCAACAACAGTGGCAACATTTATCGAGCACTTACTAGGAGCCAGGCGAGGTCCCAAGCTCTTTACCTGTACAGTGGTTCCCCCTTACCTATGGGGCACACATTCCAAGACCCCCAGCTGATGTCTGAAACCACAGATGATAGTGAACCCTTATATGTTTTCCCTAGATGTACATACAGTTTACAGCTTCTCTGGCATATCCGAATTGCCAGCATCACTACACTTGAGCTTTGGGGCCATTATTAAGTAAATAAGGGCGACTTGAACACAAGCACTGCAATCCTGTGACAGTCAGTCCGATAACAGAGGCGGCTGCTCAGTGACTAGCGGGTGGGAGCACAGGTGGTGTGAACGCGCTGGGCAGAGGGATGATGCACGTTCTGCAGAGGACGCAGCAGGACAGCTCAAGATTTCATCACACCACTCAGAACCATATGCAACTTAAAACCTACGAGTGGTTTATTTCTGGAATTTTCCATTTAACATGTTTGGACCGTAGTTGACCTCGGGTGACTGAGACCGTAGAAAGTGCAACTGTGGATGGGGGGGTTGCAGTATTCACTCATATCATTCTCTCAGCGGCATTAAGGTTAGAGACTATCGTTGTATCATCTCCATTGTGCACACGATGAAAGCAGGCTCAGAAAGTAACCTGAGTTAACCCCAACTTGCTATTTCACCATCAAGCATTTTATCATCGAGCTAGTGAAATGCAGAGTGAGGATCTGAACCCAAGCCATCTAGCTCTACTGCCTGTGCTCTTTGTCACAGTGTTCGTGTCACCTCTCTCAGGAGCCAGCCAGTCCAGGAGTCAGTTGGGGAAGAGTGAAGCTACAGTCAGTTGAGCCGGATCTCCAGCCTAGAACAGTCCTGGCAACAAACAGGACAGTCTAATAACCGTGTGTGTGTGTGTGTGTGTGTGCGCGCGCCATTGTTGAATGAAAGCATGGAACTAAAACATGACAGAAGCCGAATGGAACAAATGCAAGAGCCCGTGTTGAGGGCAGGAACCAAGCAGGTGGCACCTCTGAATGACCCAGAATCCAGGGCAGATGAACTTCAATTCTGTAGTTACCCTGTGTTCCTGCTTAGGCTGTAAACCATCTTTAAAAGCCTTGACCAGCATGGCTGATCTTGACCGGTGTGGCTCAGCTGGTTGAGTGTTGTCCCTCAAAACGAAGGGTCACCAGTTCAATTCCCGGTCAGGGCACATGCTCGGGTTGCAGGTCCAGTGCCTGGTCAGGGTGCGTACAAGAGACAACCAATTGATGTTTCTCTTACATCGATGTCTCTCTCCCTTTCTCTTTCCCTCCCTTCTCCTCTCTCTAAAAATAAGTAAATAAAATTTTTAAAAACTAAGAAGCCCCCAGGCTGAGAGTAGAACCCAGGGGAGAGAACCCATTCCTGTCCAAAGCCAGCAGCAGCAGCAGAATATTGGGCTGTCTCTCCCAGGGGAGCTCTGATCCCTGGCCACGCCCCCACCCTGCAGCCCAGGAGGCTCATGGCTAGAGGCAGCCCCATCACTCCAAAGAAACTCCATCTGAAGAGTTGTCAGGGAGCAGTAGACATCACAAACAGCGTCTCCTATGTTGTCCTCCCTCTGTCTTGGCAGATAAAAATTAATTAGGAGATGAAAAAGGAGGCCTTTGAAAGCACCACTTGGCTGTAAAACTATGTAGGCAAAAAGTAAAGGAGAAAGTGGGGAAAACGGGTTCTCTGTGGGGAGGGCTGGGCAGCTTTGAAGG